TTTTTTTTTTTTTTCATATTTGTGTTTGTAGTTTTATAATTTAATGTAGTTTTTTGTTCCTAATTTTTCCCCTTCAATCTTTTTTCCCTTTCATTTTTCAATGCAGTGATGGGAAATATGTACAAGAATAGGAAACAAGCTGGTGGGCATGGACCTCCAAGAGAAAATACTGATACGCAGAAACATGAAATGGACTTAAGGAAGATTATGAAAGATGTTGAAAATTTTAGTAAGGAAGATTGTGTTGTCTTTATCTTTTTTAGTTTTTGAATCATCTTTCTGTAGATGTGGTTTTGATATTCAATTCAATAGAAGACAAGTGGATGATTATGTTCTTGCTTCTTAGTATAATATTTCATATAATTAGGTTGGATTTCTTTGGTTTGTCTGATGCATCTTGATTCTTGAATAGCTGTACAATGCATACTTGGTAGCTGAACTCGTTGATTTTTATTCATGTAGCTAGATAGATGTGATAGGAATGCTGACACTGAATTTCATAGTTTCAAAGTTTAGTGTCATATGAACAGATGCCAATGCATTGTTAAAGGAAGTTATGAATTATTATTGTATGTTTCAACTGATATGTTTATGGATTTGGAAGTTCTTGGAAGAGTTTGAAACTTTTAAAGTTCTTAATTCTGTTGGTCAAGGAATAAACTTTCATGGGTATATTATTCTCTTCCTTGTAGTTCTCCTTTTCATATAAAGTATACTTTTTTTTGTGCAAAACATAACTTATTCTTATTTGAAACTGTCTCAACCTAAACTTCTAATTTAGGATATGTGGTAATGGCTGCAACTTCTCACTGTTCTTTCATGTTCTCTTGTAAAATTTAGGGTTGCATGTAACTTTTATGTTAATTCTGCCGTTATCTATGATTATAGTTTCTTTAACCAGGATGATTTAGTGGATTGAATTGAACTGTATAGTTGATTGCCATTGGTGTTCTTGAGGGTTTTGTTGTTGGAAATATAAGAACACTACTTAGAAGTTGTTGAGTAATATGTGGGTTATAATTGGTTTTCTTTGTGTATTGAATGCATGAATGATTAGAAAAAGTTTGTTCCTTTATTTCAATATTGTGGTATTAGAGCTGAAAAATTAATGGTAACCATACATACCTAGTTCTCCTGCTTTTGTTTGCCTTTCCACTACATTCAGCAAAAATGGTAGTGCAGTTGCTTCCTATAATGGCTGCTAACTATCGTATTTTCCAGGCTACTCACATATGACATGGAAAGAACGCAAAAAGATTGAAAATAGGAATGTTGTTTCTCTTGGTGGGAAGGTGAGGACCATTGTTGATTTTCTATTTTGTTTGCCATATGCCAAAGCAAATACTATTACAAGCATGCTCATAAACAAATTTCCTATTGATTATCATTTCCCCATATGTAGCCCCCTAAGAATCAGAGATTACCTTTAAGTGTGGCACGACCAATGATGAAGAAACAACAGGAGAGGGAGCAGAATAGAAAGGTCGGTTTCGTCCACCACTTCGACATGTTCCTCTTCGGGTTGTTGATCTGTCGTGTTTATTCTCCTGGTTATCGCCATTGTCTCACTCAATTAATCTTTACAAGCGTCTCAGTTCGGCCCCACGGTGGGCGCCAAATGTACCTGTCTGATGGGCACACTAAGTCTTCTAGTAGTCCAAAGGCCGAACGAGAGCTCCGATCCAATGCGCTAGTGAAGGGATTGGTACCTGCAAAAGGCACTCCAACGCTCAAGTCAGGACAAGCTCGAATATCTAGGATAATTAATGAACAGTGACGTTACCTTTTGTCCTGAGCTATTTATACTGACATTTATGGGCCCTGGACCCCATGGGCCGTGTGACATACTTACCGTATTAGGTAATACACCTTAATCGACTAATTAACCTCTAATCTTTGATTAAGAGTACCAAATGATGGTAGGCCGATCCTGGTGGCCGATTGACATTCGGCTTCCTGATTTCGCCATTCGGCGGCCGATGGGGAGGTGGCCGAACCCCCCCACCTGTACAGAATCTTTTTGAGTAAATATATTTACTTATGTAAGATCTTATGATTATAGAGAGTGTCGAATTTGAGTTATGAAAAAATTAAAAAAAAAAATCATAAACTCTTATAAAAATGAATATTGTACATGAGCAATGCTTCACCAACATAAGTTAATAAATCAAAAATAAAAGTTTTTAAGCCTTTCTTAAGTCTTAAGTATTGATTTTATAATTTTTTTTTAATAAACATGATATATACAGTATTCAAAAGTTGATAACAAAAAATTAATTTGTGTTCAATTGTTTGTGGTACATTATTTTACTTTTTTAATTAATTAAAAATCATTTATAACTATTTTTTAAATAAAATTGTCATAAAAGTTAATATTTGGTCAATTTATGATGTTAATAGCATATATGATTTTCTTTTTGTTTATAGACATGACTCATGTAGTATCTTAAAACTAACACTTAAAGATTAATTTGCAATATAATTTGATAATAATACGCAATTATAATAAATTTTTAAAATAGCTAAATAAAAGAGTATGTAGGCTTTACACACTAACAATATAAAATAAAAAAATCATTATCATCCAATTATAAACAAACATATTTATACAAGCATAAATTAATCATACACTTATATAATAATTATTTTAAATTTTATATTAAGTAATAATTATTTTATGAATTGATTGCGTATAAAAATTAAATTTTTAAATAAAAATTAGTAATATATTGCTTAAATAATTAATAAAAATATTTAGTTAATACAAATATTGCAAATATTATTGTTAGAGTAATTATTCGGGAATACAACTTGTATAATATTATTATATTATTTTTGTATATCTATTTTTTTTGTCATTAATAAGTATAATAAATTTAAGGAAAAATAGTATTATATAATTTTATTATATAAGTACTTTTTCCAACTCTTGTGATAAGACATTTTTAATCGAATCATACGTATCAATATAAGTAATCATGTTGGTTGATTTTATTAAGTTTATAAAACAAAATCTATGATATACCAATTTTACCTTTCTTACTTACCATTGAACTTTCATTATAGAAATGAAAATATTACTCCATTTAAAAGCTTATGCATTAATTCTAATAAAATTGACTAATGATGGTTGAAGAGTTTGAGAAGTGAGATTGAACATTTATGTATCAAATTTTCTTCTTATTGGGGGTGAACATTTGTCAAGTTGGGCAGAGTTTATCCTTGCCCAAATTCAACTTGATTTTTCGGTCAAATCATTTTATAAAATCTAAATTTGACCTAATCGATGCTTAAAAATATATGGGACAAAGTCGGGATAACCAAACTTTGATGTACTATGTTATATTTAATATTATATATAGTTAAATTATAAATTAAAAGAAGACAAAATTTAAAGGCTTAAATATGTTTTTAGTCCTGCAAATTTAAGGTAAATCTGTTTTTAGTCGCTCAAATTTAAAATTATTATTTTTAATTCCTGTAATTTCAAAAAATCTTATTTTAGTCCTTATATTCAAATTTTGTTAAGAAATTTATCGAACATTATTGCATAAAATCTACCTATTGGTACCCCTATTAGTGAAAATATCACATTAAATCTGGTTAATATCGCATAACTGTCTTAATTAGTCACTTTCAAATATGTTATTGGTGATCTAAGGGACTAAAACAAGATTTTTAAAAATTACAGGAGTTAAAAACAACAGTTTTAAATTTGAGGGACCAAAACTAAATTTACCTTAAATTTGAGAGACTAAAAACATATTTAAACCAAATTTAAATTAAGATATATTTTATAATATAATTTTTAAAACAAAATTTTTTATTATAATATAATATTATCGTATAAAAAATTATTATTAGCTAAATAAATTTGTATTATTAATAAATAATAACTCAATAAAATCTATATTTTTTTTAGAGAATACTATATATTAAATTAAATTAAACAGCTCAAAACGTAATCTAAATTTATTCTAAAAGTTCAAATTCATCAAACCAAAAAGGGTATTGAATGGAGTTGAATTATGTTTATCCTTACTTTTCTTTGACCAAAAACATTCCTTTTTTTCATTAACCAAAAACATTCTTTAATAGAAGTAAAAGATGAATAATAAAATTGATGTTTTAATAAATTGAAAAATACTTAATAAAAAGAATAATCATTTTCATGTGAATTGTGACTTGTAAATATTATTTTTTATATTTTTGTTTTATTCTTTAATTTCTTCTCCGGACAGAGTTAAAGACAACAAAACACAGAGAGAGACGAAAACAGGTGGCGGCATTGCCAAGAGAAGTACCACTATTAGGCCGAGGAAGAGGGTTTTAGGCTTTGGCAGGGTTTAAGGAAGCGCGGAGAGGGGTGAAAACATCAACAGAAAGATTGTCTTTAATTAAGGAAGTGTTCAAAACCAAAATCCATGGCACACATTGCAAACCTTCGGATGACGCCGTTTATGCCCACAACTTCCTCAAACGACGTCAAAGAAATCGCGTTTAAGACCGCCCCTTCAGCTTCCAAGGTCGAAATCAAGCACCTTCTCGAAACCCTCTACGGCTTCGAGGTCCAAAAGGTGCGAACCCTGATCATGAAGGGCAAGAAGAAGCGTTACGCGGGTTCATTGGTCGCAAAACCCGATTACAAGAAGGCCTACGTCACCCTCAAGAAGCCACTTTCCTTCTCCCAGGACCTTTACCCCGTTCGTTCCACCCTCCAAGATAAGAAGAATGAGAAGATGTTAACCACTCAGTGCTAGGTGTGTGGTTTTAGGGGTTTGAAATTTTTGTCGTCATGTTCACTCTTTTCTTTTTTTGGTACCATTTGGGCATAAGAAGCTGAGGATGGCACGTTGTTTTATTGGAGTTTATGGATTAATGGAGATTGTGTTTGTGGGATGAATAGAATTTTTTTTTTAGAAAAAAAAAAACTTTTAATTTGTTGCGTTTGACCGTATATCACACACTGCTGAATCAAATAAAAGCATGTCCAGTACGAAGAAGAAATAGTTCTATTGTTTACAAATGCTCTTAGGGATCGTATTTTAACAAAATTGACCATTGATATAAATCTCAGTAATTCTCACTATTTTGTGCCTGTTATAAGAATTGATAGCAATTGCTCTTCGTTTATTGACTTGTGTTGTGTCAGGTGTCAAGCCTTTACACCCGAATTTAGTGCCTCGTGCCTTGCAAATATACTAGTCCAAATCCAAGGTTGTGTCAGCAGTATACTTTGCTTTTCAGGTTAACTCAACATTGTTGTTGAAAATGATAGAGGACAAAACTTATGTAAAGTTCCTTAGATGCAATTACTGGTGTTTTCTAATTAGAATTAAAGTTTTACATCAGTGCTATGTGGAAATGTATATTAATGATATCTGTACCTAGGTTCTTTAGATATAGTTGATGTTTCTCATTAGAATTAGAATTTTATATTAGCATGTTTTCTAATTAGAATTAAAGTTTTACATCAGTGATATGTGAAAATGTATATTAATGATATCTATACCTAGGTTCTTTAGATATAGTTGATGTTTTTCAATTAGAATTAGAATTTTATATTAGTGATATGCGTGAATGTATATCGATGAAATTTGTACCTAAGTTCTGTTTTACATCTATAATTCATTTTACCCTGGTATGAATAGTAATAATAATGTAAAACCTGGAATGAGTTTGGAAATTTGAAAGCTGGGTGCAGTTTTGTCGTTTACCATAAACATCAAGAATCTAGTTGCTATGAACAGTACGACCGTGATTCCAAGAATCTTTATTTATGAAATGAATGAATAGATTCTATACGAACTTTTTGATTGCTAAACCAGTGTAAACTAACATCCTCCTAAATTATAATTTGACAGTGAACTCTGTAACTTAGCAGCACATTTCCTGTAATTTGAAGTTTTGAACTCTTAAAATATTTTTCCTTTTAAGTTGCATTTTTCTGCAATGCTAGAGAATTCCCTTAATCTGCGTATTTTATTGTTCATTGCTGAACTTATAAGTTGATGTACTGTCAACTGGATGTTCTTAGGGTCCAAAAGTTTGGTATCAGTAATCTAGTCACTAATTGGGTATTGATGCATTTGGAAGTCTTTGTCTGTATATGGAAGCTACAGCCTACAAGAAACTTTTTTGTCTTTGAACTCAACAATATCTTAAGATACAAAATTTATACTATATGCTTCGTATAAAGAAAGGCTAGCTAGGTGTTTTTACAACAGGATTTTTTTATGTTGACACTTGAAAAATAGAATACTTCAAGACATGGAGAGCCTTCTTCTAGGGTTAATTATGCGTAGAATTCTGTTTGGTGACTTGGGCATATCCTGTCTCTCTCCAATTTCAATTCCTGCTGGTTTTGTATGTAAGGAGTTCTTAATCTTCCGCCAATGTAAAGTCCACCCTGATGAATTCTTTGGCTTGTTGCTTAACTTTTCATACTCCTGTTGTAATTCAAAATAGTCATTCTGCAGTTCTACCATTTTGGACTTTACATTCTCAAGTTCTGTTTTGAGTGTCTTAATATCCAGAGTTGCAGATGTCTGGTTTCCTTCTTGTTCAGATTGGCTTCCACTTTGCGCTGGCTCCTTCTCTTGCATTGCTGTCCTCATCTTTACTTGCTCTGAAAATAGAACCTGCATGATGTGTATACTTTTATTCAGGTGACAGCTTTTATGCTGAATCATCTCTCTTATCATATTAACTCTAAGAATGTATGTAATTTTAACCATAATTTGTTGTGCTACCACACTATCTAACATGGGATGTATATTATGAAACCAGTTCCACCTGTTTCTGTAGAATTCATTTTTTATATTAAAAATGAACTTGGAAGTTGGAATATTTAATTCTTTCTGTTGAATCCTAACATGATGATTATGTCATATCTCAACATTTCTGGTCTTTAAATCTCCTAAACCAATTATGTTTTACTGCAATTTTAAGAGAATTTTATTTTTAAATCATTATAGATTAGTAAAAAAACAATCTGTGTAGAGGAAATAATTTGTAGGTTCTATTATTTTCTATTGGGTTAGGATTGTTTTTCTGGCCTCTCCCCGAGCGCATGGTTTCAGGGAGGGATTTGGGAGTATTGCTGTTTTGTTTTTATTTTTTCTGCTTATAAGGAGGATTGGTAAATTCCTGCCTTTATTTGATCCTTCTTTCCTTCTAATAAAGTTTCTTCTTTCGTAAAAAAATTGCCACTCACCTGTAGGTTCCGTATTCGTTAGTATTTGAGGGTTTTCCTATTGAAAGTTAAAGTAAAAGGTATGCAAAGTTGCAATTATTAATATAATGAATAATATCATTTATCCTAAATTGGTTCTAATGTTAATTTGGTTACTGTGTTAATGTTTCTAGATGCCCTTTTAACAGATGCTACAAATTCTGAATTCTGAATTATGCTATATAAGTCATCAATTTCCGTTTCTTTTTTTATTTGTGGAATATGAAATTCTTAAAACTGAGGTTAATGGTCAGTTGTTAATTTATCATGTATGAAGCTGAAATAGTTTGATTCCAGAGATTGTAAACTTTACCTGGACAACAGTTCGTAGGGGCAATCTCTCATTTTGTGCAGCATGCAGGCATGCATCAAGTGAGAGTTTCTCACAGTTCATTATTTTGCAGAGTCTTTTACGGTCATGCTCGGACATTGAAGGATGGGTCTGGAGAGATGTCAATATAAAAATGCAAAACTTTGTTGTGAAATCCATTTAGTTAAAACAGGAAACTGAAACACAAGAAAATAACAATTAAAATTATGACCTTGAGGTAGGTGTCAATGGCTCTATATAGACCATCATCATATGATCGAGTATTTTCCGGTAGCAACTCGGCGAAAACTTGGAACTTGGTAATTGAAAGATTTGGGTCTCTTGCAATTTCAGTTAGGTAACTGTCCAAGAGCCTGCTAATATTGAATTTCCTAGTCTTCTGTTGATGTTGCATCTGCTGTTGTTCATGCATCAAGAAGTATTCAACAATTCGTTGCACTACATCTACGTCTAGCATGGTGCATTCTTCAGATGAATTAGCCATGCTACTAATGAGGGGGAAAAAGACAAAAGATAAATATTAGTGTCATTGATCATTTTCATAACTCGTGTTTTGTGTTGTGTTTATCTTTGGGTTTAGAGGGTTGCGCAGTTAAATTTGACCTTTGGCATTAATACCGATTCCGATGTGGGGGTAAAAAAAGAGCATTGTGGCATACTCACATGACCGTTTTTCCTTGATCTCCATTTTGATATCTTGGAATTAGAAGATCATTCACCTCAGCATCTTCCAACACCATACTCACTCTCTTTTCAAGGTCTGTTGTGAGAGCTGGCGATACAGAATACATCATAGCCATCTTTAACATCTGCAACATGAACTTACATGAGACTGCATCTTGCTGGGGAGGAATAATGCTTATTAGGCTTTCAATAATTGTCTTTTGTTCCTTGCTGTGTCCAGTGCTTTCTTTCTTCTTCCCACTAAAAATACTGAACTGTAGGTTACTCTTTTCATGCCCATATCCTCGTAGCCCTTCTAACTCCACATCCATTCCTGGCAGACATCTCTTGGCATATTGCATGATACATTTACCAATGATCTCTGGTTTGGTTCCCTTTGCCCTTATTGCTGAAATGATCCGCATAAAATGATCAATGCGGAAGGTGGCCACGTCATTGAACCACCAGCTTTCTTGATTCGGTGCTGCATCCTCACTCGTGAGGTCATCTTTAGAAGCCTTCCATGCGATGGAATCACAGCATCTTCTTACAATTTGGAGGTTTTCAGCCCATGGAGATAGGTTTTCGCAAGATTTCAGAACAGTGATAGTGTCTTTCCATGAAGAAAGCACAACAAAGGTGAGGAAAGCTTCAGTCTTGGAAATGAGGTTTCCGTCTTCTAGTTCTTCAGTCATCTCTAGGAACTCTGATGCACATCTTAGTGCAGCTATGTTATCTGGGCTGAAGTCTATAGGGAGGCCATAACAGAACTTCAGAATTGTTTCAAATGTTTCAGATCCACCTGGGAAATTTTCTAGCTTGAGCGCATTGCCAGAATTTGATATGAAAGGCTGAATTTCCAATCGTCCTATGTAACCACACTTTGATAGCAAGGGGTACTGTTGTTACAGAAAAAAGTGACCAGCGTACGTAATGATGTTACAGCAAAAGGAGCTAACATACAAAATGATTAAGACATGAAATGCGGGTCTGTATGGTTTCTTTTATCTTTGTTACAAAAATGTTACTTTATTTTCATTAGAAATTAGTGTTTTAAGATTTTGTTTATGGAAATAGTAAAACACTAAAAGTAGTTTTTTGTTATATTATTCATTATTTCCTTCATGAAATATTCAAAACAAGAAATAGAATAAAAATAACGCGACATTTCCTTTTATAATTATTGGTGAAAACATATAAATTGATAAAAAAATAAAAAATAAAAAAAAATCATAGACGCTATTTCCCACATGTTTTTTTGCTGTTCTGTTTTCAAGATTTTTAACCCGTCTCTAATGTTTTGTGGTTTCTATCTCGAGGAACTTTTTTACCCTATCCAAAAGGTAACAAGACACGTGCACACAAATACACACTTCACAAAGAAAAGGAATGGGTGGTTCTTATGCTCCCTTGATAGAACTTTGTTCTACACCAGTCAGTGTCACTCAACGAGATAAGAATGTTAATGGATTACCAATGGACAGTGTTATGATATTATGGTTTTAGTGTGGTCTATATATACATCGCTGAAG